AGGACCAGTGGTGAGAGTGGCGATGCCTGGAGAGTGGAAGGAATGTGGGGTAGAAAGGGGGAACCGATTACAAGAATCAACGTATAGCCTCCTCCCTGGGGAATGGACAGCAGAGAAGAGGGCGGGGGGAGACGTTGTAACTTATGACAAAACAATAATAATCTATGGATTATGAAGGGTTCATGAGGGAAGGGGGAGTGGGGAGGGAGGGGGAAAATGAGCAGGCGATATTAAGGGCTAAGTAGAAGGCAAATGTTTTGAGAATGATGAGGGCAACAAATGTACATATGTGCTTCACACAATGGATGGATGTATGGATTGTGATAAGAATTGGACAAGCCCCCAATAAAATGATTAAAAAAAAAAAGAAATGGGGAAGGAACCCCGGTGGCTGGCACTAGGCTGCTGACCACAGAGGGGCAGTTGGACTGGAGGGGGAGAAGCGAGGGGACGCGCTGCTCCTTGACGATGGAAGCTGTGCTTTGCCCTCTGGGGTCACTGAGTCAGAATCCACCAGAGGGCAGTGGGTTTGTCTCTTTACCCTAAATCAGTGGTTCTCAACCTGTGGGTCGTGACCCCATTGCGGGGTCAAATGACCCTTTCACAGGGGTCACCCGATTCATGACAGTAGCAAAATTATAATTATGAAGTAGCAACGAAAATAACTTTATGGTTGGGGGGTCACCATCACATGAGGAACTGAACGAAAGGATTGCAGCCTTCGGAAGGTTGAGAACCGCTGCCCTAAATAGAGGCACTCACAGAAAGGTCTGCAGTTTAAGCCACCCAGCTGCTCTGGGCTGCCGAGTGGTTCCCGTGACAGTGGCAGCCTAGGAATCCTAAGGGGCACTGGCCCACAGCACCCAATCGCCACCAGACAGGCCAGGGGAGCCGGGGCCCTGCTTTCTCCCACCCAGTGCCCCCACCCCATGGTCGGAAAGGAGGCCCTGAAGGGGTGACATGCCCATGCCTGCAGCCTCTCCAAGTCCTGCTCCTGCTGTGCATGCAGAACTCACGGCCGTCAGGCAGTGCCCACTCCTGTTCCCGTGGGTCTCCGAGGTGGTTGGACTGGAAGGAAGCAGGTCGCCTCATCTTTCTCCCTTGGAGCAGCTGGTGGGTGGGAACCATGTCCTCGTGGTTAGCAGCCCACTCTGCCACTAGGGCCCCTTCATAGGGAGGATGAGAGAAAAATCCTGTGTGCAATTCTTCCCAGAGGGTAGCTGACCATACTGAAGGCCCCCAAGGCACGTGGGGACCTGGCATAGTTAGCTTTCAACTCACAGTGTGCAAAGGGACAGTGGTCAGGAGCTTTTGACTGGTGCCTCTTGCCCACACTGCAGACCGAAGCATTCCAGGAGCATTGAGTTGGTGACTCCTCCCCCTCAACACACAGACACAGACACACACCCCAGCTTGATCTCTTGACTGCAGCTTCTGGAGACCAGCAGCATGCCAGGGCACCCCAGGGTCCAGCAAGCAGCATGGCCTGAGGAGGAGGAGGGAAGGAGCGTGCAGGGCTGGGTGAAAGTGACGTGACTCACTGTAGTGGAAGCTGATAGCTGGGGCAGCAGCGTGCAATTCTCTGAGTTGTTGTAAACCGATAACTACATAGCTAGTAATCATCGTTCCCTCAAAACCGACACTCGCTTCTTTGTCCTGAAATACACTACTTGTGTTGCTGTGGAAAGAGCCCTTGCAGGCTGTGCCGTGGGCAGCCAGCCTGTGTGAGAATCCATTCCTGGTCTGTCTGGAGCCTGACAGCACACTGTGCCAGTGGGTGAAATCCCAGGTCCTTCCCGAAAGCTGAGGGGCAGCAACACCCTGCCCACCCAGCAACCGACCCATCACCCACCAGGCTGAGGCAGGGCTGGGCTAGCTGTCTGTATTCTTTCGCAGCAACCCACCGAGTACTTTGACATGGGGATCTTCCTGGCCTTCTTTGTCGTCGTCTCCTTGGTCTGCCTCATCCTCCTGGTCAAAATCAAGCTGAAGCAGCGACGCAGCCAGGTAACCAGCCCGGGGACATGCCTGCCCAGAGCTTGACATGCCAGAGAGGCAGGTGCAGGGTTCCAGTCCTCCACCGTCTCTGCCCCAGAGAGACCTTTCCTAGGAGGACTAGCCCTCAGGTGTGGGATTGTGGAGCCCAGGCTCAGATGGGACGAATCTGAATCCAAGGTTAGGGCAGCCCCTGCTGGCAATGCCTGTGTTTTGGTA